TATCAACTTGAATTGTATAAGCATTGATGTATCTGTATATGTAATATACTACAAGTATAACTTTTTATTTAATGACGCATGTAATTAGTGTTTTTTTCTAACTATACTAATTGTAGCGACTGGGGTAAATATACTGCTCGTCTATGGAAGCTATTAACCAGTTTAGTACCACCTTCTAAGAACAAATTGCTAAAGTAGCTGTTTGATTCTGAAAGAATATCAGACCCATTGCTTCTATCATACATTCAAATTCTTTGGCTCTAAAATAAAACGACTTATCATATTTTTCCATACGTTCCATCTCTTTATGTCCTAGATATTTTATTCAGTCGATCTCAAATGTAACCTTTAGATTCCATATCTCAAATCAAGCAGTAAGTCGCGAGTAATTGGCACATTCGCCAACGTTAAAATTCAAATGTCTTGTCCAACGAAGTCGGGAATCAAACAGTCACAATGGACGTGTGTTGGCACTACGATATCAAGATGACGAGATCTTGCTATTAGTGATTCAATGGATCCTACTATTAAAAAGATTCATAGTATCTTCGCCTTTTTTATGTTACAGAGTTGAGAGAAAGCCCATCAGATGGTGAGTGATCTTCACTCGAGGACATAATTCCACATCGAGAGTTACGTCATCGTGAAGACTTTTGGGATTATAGAGGGGGAAAGTTACAAAAATAGAATTGAAACACAATGTCCGTTTTCCTTATATAGGCTTCAATGAATTTGTAAGCTATAAAATGGGGTAGGCCGCGTTGACGCTAAAATGCTTCAATATATTATCACTTAACTGCTAAAAAATCGTTACTATTTCGGTGCATAATCATTATACACGAAATATCAGTGTAACAGGATCTAATCGTCTCGCCCACGCATGAAGCCTATACAATTGTAAGCAAACATTAGCACGATTGACAGCTACAAGGCGCTTGTTAACTTCCCCTCGAGATGCGTATCGTACGCCCAAAGGCTACTGTTTGCGTATCTTAACAGGGATGTAAATTATCTAGATGGTGCCTTCATCTTGATTCATATCCGGAGTGGGCGGTTACATTATGAACGAAAGAATCATTTATACAAAAATAGTACGCCATAAAAAAACTTCGTATTATTAAGGTCGATTTAAATTATTGTAGGTTCAAATTGTGTAGAATATTAGTGATATCAGGACAACGTCTCTTCCATATGATCTAACCCCGTCTTCAAGCTTCGGGTGTAAATGGGTGCATAATAAGCAGGCATTCAAAATCAAGGAGATGCATTCCTCGCGATATAATAGGTATTCACTATACACATGTTCGTGTGAGACATTTGTATGGACGAATAATGATTTACACTGAAAGTATCAGTTTAGATTTGTTTTGGGAGATTTTCGGCCTGGTTTATTTCAGGCACGTGTTTAAGATTCTTTTTTCTTCAATTTATTCCCACTTTATGAATATAATAACCATGTTTATGTTCAATAGATTACTTTGGATTGCTTTATTTGTTCTTATATATTTCATTCTAATTGGGTAAGCAATATATTATTTCTAATGAATACTCCAGATGAGGAAAATAAACAAGTTATTTGAAGAACGATAACAATGAATGCTATCAATTAGAAACGATGGTGAGAGGTCAGTCCTTGTTGGTTCAACAATGCTCACAGAATTTAGCATCCCAATATTTCCTAGCCCAAATAGAATGACTATTACGTTTACAAGGCTTTGTAATTGGACTGTAAATAACTATATTGTTAGAGGCGCGACGATACGTGAATAGAGTTTCAAGATCCTTTGTACCGGTCCTTTTAAAACCCGGTTCTCGTTTTAATAGGCGGTTGTAATTTAGGATTAAGGTTTGTAAATGCTGATTTTCAATAAGTATAATTCTTTGTTGAAATCATATAGGGTCTCATTAGAGTTTAATACAGGAGTCTGTTATGTTGATTTAATGTTGGTTTCTTTGATATAAAATTTAAGTTCGAATAACAGATCATTAAGGGATCGACACGTTAGAACAATAAGCTGGTAATTTGGAAGTTTCTCGCCATTATTCGAACAAATTCGGTCTCATTATAGATGCGATATCACAACGCGTGTCCGCGGTATCCAACACGATCGTCGGAGATTTTATCTGTCGATTGTACTCCCGGTGTTATCGTATTACGGGATTTTATATATTTTATACCCGTAAAGAAATAACTGCCTTACGACGTTACACTTAATAAACTGTTCATTTTTTTATTTTATTTTTATTATACATGTATACATAATGTTGTATATGTATACACATAATTTTTATTTCTAGTCTAAAATGTTCTTGTTATGCAAAAAATATCAATAATTCTAAGTTTTATACAAGTACTTTAACGATACTAAAACAATATTTTATAAGCATAAAATTTTGTATTTTTTTATATGATTAGAATACTATATAAATAATCTTTCATTTAAATACTTTTAAATTTATTAAAAAGACTAGTTTTTGCCCGCGACTCCGTCCGCGTTAGTTTGGTCAAGAGTAATATATGTAGGTATAGCTGACCGGGCGAACTCTATTCCGTCTTAGAGGCCATAAATAATCAGGTTTCTCCTGTTTCAATCAAACAGAATGACTGACATATTAGTTAGTTGTCAAATCTAATGTCAAAAAAAACGTTTGTATGGGAAATAGAAAAGGGCTGTTTTTAGAGTTTTCCCGGCAATAATTCCAATTTTTCTCACCTTTTAAACTTTTCCTGGACTTCCAGGAGTATTTCAAGACTAAAATTAGCCAAATCGGTTCAGCCGTTGTCGAGTTTTAGCGAGACTAAGGAACAGCAATCCATTTTTATATATATAGAAGATAGGTACCATAACTCATTACTATGTATTTAATGGTCATTTCAGAATAAAATAAACTATAATATACTAGAAATAAGAAAGACGATTTCATAAAATTAATAATTTAAATATAATGTTGAATTTTAACGAAACAGGAGCACTCCTCGTTGTGTATAGATGCGCCCGAGCAACTCACCTGAGTATTGAATTTCACGGTAATGACGACATTTTCGACCAACACCGCCTTGTTTTTCAGTGATTTATATCTTATTTTGTCACGAAATGTATCATTTATATTTGTTATACATATTGTAGAGTAAATATGAATATCTCAACCAAAATACATTAAATCGTAGTAAATTATTTTTAAATGTACATTTGTTAATTCATTAAAGTATGATATTTATATGAATGAATCTGTAAAGCTTTTTTTTATATACAAAAGATGAAAATGAGTTGAAAATTAACTTGTAGATAATACATTATAAAATTATTTTATTTCATTATTTTTTGTATTCATCGAACATTATTAAAATGATAAAACAGACGAAAATTTTCACATTTGAGCAATGTATATAATCGTCATCAGCCTATGAACGCGCACTGCTGAGCAAAGGCCTCTTTCTCACATGAAGAAGGTTTGAGCATTTATCACCATGCTTGCTCAAGACGGGTTGGTGATTTCAAACTTATAATTGAGAAACTATAAGTCCAGGTTTCCTTACGATTGTTTTCCTTCACCGTATGTCAGTGGTATCTAAATACTCTCAGAAAGTACATATGACTCCGAAAAATCACATTGGTAGTTGCCAGGTTTGAACCCGCGCTCTCGGCAACGAGAGGCGGACCCTTTAACCACTAGCCCACCACTGACTCACTGACAATGTATATAATATTAATAGCAAAATGGTATTTTATATAAAACTGATAATGATGTGATTGAATAAATTTTTCATAAATAACAATGCTATGCTATTTAAAACTAACAAAGACTTCATATCGGCCATTGTGACGTTCGGACAAAACGACTTGTAGCCCAAAAAAGGCTAGATAGATTGTAGTCAGCCATTGTACAGTCGCCAAAGAATATATAAAAATATACTTAATTAATTAATTGGTGTATTAAAATATATGTCTGTCTGTATTTATTTGTACAGATCGAGGAATCGGTAATAGTTAAGAATACAGGGAGGTAAGATCTCAAAGGTTAAAACGATGTAGTTACTTTTTCGACAGTTAAACTTCTAAAACTAAACGAGGAAAGAAAATAAAATGTTGATATTATTTTGTATTTAATATATAAGGATTAATAATTAGTACTTGGAAAATATGAAAAAACTTAAGCAAACGGTATTGTGTTGAAAAATAATGCTTATTTTGAATTTGGCCATTCGACTTTCAATTTATGAATTTGATATTATTTTTTTGCTAGCTAATACAAAGAATAAACAAAATATTTCTCATTTAGGCTGCAAAATGGGATTCAGAAAAAAATGTATATAATTTAGGCTGCGAAATAGGATTCATATATTTTTCAACATCAGAATCAAAATATTTTCAATTATTTTGATACAGTATTAACAAAAACAAATAATGACCAGCCCACTAATACGATTGTAAATACAAATACAATTCTATTTAATATCTCCCTATTCTTTCTCTTTATCAGATGAATATTATAGCATAAACAGTAGTAAGTAACAATTATTATTTAGTAAGATCAGACAATGCACACCCACACTCCTCTCACAATACATCCATGAGAGATATAGTTTTATTGTATTCTAAATATATTTCAATACTTAATGTAATTCACAGTTTCATTTATTTAACTTATAGGAAAAACAATGTTCCGTCTCTAATCTCTAATAGTTCACGTAATAATTGTCAATGTTGCGGTTTCAATACTTTAGACTTCCGAAAAAATTGCATATACGTATGTTTTTATTTTGAAAAAGCATCTTGTTAGAAATACTATCATAGATGAATTAGCAAGAAGATATATTAATTTTTAAAGATGCTTTCAAGGAAGCTTTAAAGATACCTACAAACTTTGTACAACGATTCAATAAGCCTAGAACTATAACAACAATATACAAGCTATGTTTAACAAATATGGTTCGTCGTTAAGTCTTTTACCAGTTAGGTATACCAACAATATATAATAAATACTAAATATTGTTTTAGGATGAACCAGCTTCATCCGGGGACAGCGGTGATGAGAGCGGGAGTGATCCTGAATCTCCGGGAGAGAAATTGATGCAGAATCATAAGGAATGGACCTCAGACCGCGAAAGAGATGCTAACAATAGGTATGAGAAAGTAAATTAAAACCGTTATAAGTTGAACTTTCGATTTCATTTTTTTTCGATGTACAAACAAACACATTTTTTTATATATTGATTCGACCATTTTTGAGCGATTTATGACTATCTGAGTATTTTCAACAACAATTTTTTTGAGCTCAATTTCTAACTCATGTATGTTTATATGCCGCATAAGCAAGGTTTACTTACAAAGTGGAGTGTATTTAGCAAAATATAGAGCAAGCGCCTGTTTATTGTATAGAGTGTATAATGATATAATTGCAGACAAAATTCACAAGACAATATGCCTTCAACGTCATCATTGAACGTCGAAGAGTCTAAGCCAAGCCAGCCATCGTTACCCAAGATTCTGCCGAAGATAGATCTTCCCGGGGGCGCCATTCTATACCACTCGGGTGTTCTGGGTGTAGGCTTGGATGGGATCGGCACCAATCTTGGTCTAGGCAACTTGGCTATGGGATATCCTCATAACTTCATACTGGGTTTGGCCAATCAAGGACAAGAAGGAGGTAATTTAATACATATATTAATTTAATTTTCCATATCGATCCTTTTTTATGAATGAATGCGATGATGTAAATAGTCCTTTAAAAACATCAGTATGTTTTCTTTTTTATTTTTATCATATAAGATATGCTGTTGCTCATCCTGGACTATTACGTCAAAAAATTAAGATTTTCTTAAAATTTCTACGTGTGGAAAAGAATAAAAAGTGTGCAGATGTTACGAATTTTAAAAAATCCTCTAAAATGTGAAAAAGATTGAATAGCACAACTTATATTGTTTAGCGATATATAGGGTCTTTTAAACTGTCTCGTGAAATTGGCTAAAATGCAGTAATCACTAGAAAAGGCATATCTCAGATTGTGGTCGACAATAGCGAAATTATATTTAATTCACATTGAATATACTTTCAAAAATAACTTAAACTACTGAAATAGCATTTGCATTAGTTTGTCTCGAAACAGCTTCTATAGCTTTCACTAACTACCGAGTATTGAATTATTGAATACAAAAAATGTAATTATATACTTGCAAATGAACGCTTAATTAGACTGTGCTGCGGATCTAATTTCATCTGCATTTCTCTTCATTATGTCAAAAAGATATTTCTGTTTTTGTTTGCGAGTAAATTCATAAATTTTTTAGTCTTATAGCCTTAGGTACTAAGGTTTACATTTCCATATAAACCAAATACAGAACTCGTGTATGAGTTTAGTATACTGCATCCTTCAGGACATTTTACTCACCATAATAAATGAATACATCCTGCCTTTATAACTAGTAATTAAAACAATTTTTTGTACAGCAGTAAAATTCATATAAAAACTAAGTTCATTTCTTCGATAATTTCATGTTGATTTTTGTCAATAATATTTTTTTAAGTCATCCAGATAGTTCTAATTCTAATATAATATTAAAAACATTTGTAATAAGAAAGAGGGACTGCGTCCTTAACAAAATTATCAGCAACATATCGAAAAAACGCTTTATTATTTGTATAATAAACGTTGTCGTCATCTTTTAGATTTATTCGAAGAGATACATATAAGAGCAATTAAAAATAAGCTACACCAATGACAACAATTCTTATATAGTCTTTGATAGGTATATATTTCATCATCTTTCAGCTTCTTCATCATCAAGTCAGCCTCAATTCATCACCATACCGTTGTCCATGATGGCTTCTGGTACTACGAACGGTTGTCCCAGCGCTTCTAGCGATGACAGCAGTGAACTCCAAGATTTGAGTACCGGCAGAAAGTGATGCTAAAGATGTAATATTGCCGTTCTATATAAAAAATATATTATTACAAATATTTACCATCTTCTTATATACTAACTTAATTTAAACCCTCTTTTTTGTTCTTTCAATATTTAGATAGAATCTTCTTTAACAGAATTGTGTTAGTTGAGAGAGATAAATTGTATTTTGTTCACAGATTTATAATTTCATTATGGTGGGTACAATAACGGTTTTCTTTTAATATAATTTTTAAATATATATGTACCAAAGTCGTGTATTGGATTATATTTCTTATTCTGTTATATATAAGTACTATACTCCTATAAGAAGCAATTTTAGTGGCTGTATAACGTTGGTAACCTTGCCTTTCTATGTTGTAATAGTTTTGAAAATAATGTGTATAAAAAAAAATATACGTAATTTATTGTTGTAAATTAATTAGATAATATTTTTGTACCGAAATAAATTTGACATATTTTGTACCGTTGATAGCGTGAAGAGATGTTAAAATAATTTTTAAAATGAACATACGGATGGTCAGTCAAGGTTTTTCGTCTAAGGCATTTATTTGTTCTTATAATAGCTGATTTGTTATTTTTGTTTATTATAATCGAAAGCGTCGTCTGTTTAAGACGCGTATAACAGAATGTTCTAGATGAATTTTGTATAACAATACGCATATTTATATTAAGGTCAATAATGTTCCTTTTCGTTTCCTATAAATTAATAAAACATTTTAAAGTGTTTATCTTCTTTTATTTCGTCGCCTTAACACTATTATATAATCATAACTAAACTTTAGAGAACAACATTAAAATATATTGAAAATATAGATCAATTATTAAAATTCAACGAACTATTATTACCGCAATGTAGTTCTTGGAAAAATTTTAATTGTGTTTCAAAATAATTTATATAATTAAAGTAAGAAAATTAAGATATACCATTGCGATAGCCAGTGTTTACTGAGTCATTTAATTGCTATCTAAAAACTCTGCATACCTAAAGTAATAGATCGCAATTAAGTCTCTAGGGAATGATCTCACCAGTTCTCAAAAAAAAAACTCGCAACAACAACATCTATACTGATAGATGACCACCACAAATAGATCTATACCACAAAACAACAGCACATACATACGATTGTTCGTTCAAATATATTGATGCAAATATTAATTTAATTTTAATAGCATTAAGGATTAATATCGATTGAATCAATATTTTTTTGTGATCGATAATTTTATTCGATGTTTATTTAACAGTGAACATGGCCGGCGGGTCTAGTTATACTGGTGCTTCTAATAGTATATTCGGTTAACCGAGATGGCAGATATTTATTAAGATGTCCATTCATTGGTCAGTTCTTAGCCAATAAGCCTGCTTACAGTTATATCTAGGTAAGTATGGAGTCGTAATGGAATAATTTATTTTAATTTTATTTTTCTGCCAATGACATAAGAGTTTATTGGTATACGATAATTATTTTTTATAACGACCTACAACGTATTGCATTACAAATGAGAAAAAAAATTTAAACGTTTATTTGTCTTTAAGTCATTTGCAAACTGAACGGGCATGATTTTTTCATACCGATGTTGACATTTTGTTGTCACATGTATGTATTTTAACGAGCAACAAACTCGATCTATAATTATCTTTCAGTTGAATAGTAATTATGAAATCAAAACGTATAGTTCTCACGTACACTTGTAAATGTATATTATATGAATGATTTCTTTATTAAGATTGTATTGAAATTGTATACCTCTTCTGCCCGTGCATACGGTTGCTGAAAAGTAACCGAAACGTCGGTGGTAAGTAGTTTTACATAAAGCACGCGTAGTCTATCCAAAAAATATGAGTTTCATTTATATTATATTTTTAACGAAACGCAATTCATGTCAACAAACTCACTCACACATACAAGTGACATTCCGAATTGCAAATGATCCGTGTCTTGAGCACGATAAAAAACGAAACCTTCACCTAACTTCATACAAAGCATTCTATTAGCTCAATTAATAAGGAATTCAAAAAATCTTTACCTTTTTCATGACTTACGTTGTATAGGAACGTAAATTGCGTCATGGGAAAAGGAGAAAAAGTTCAACAAGCGTATTTTTCATTTCTTAACACGTTGTCAAGAAAAAGACAGTTATAAACAAATAAGAAGTTACTTATACAACAATTATAATGTAATTGAAATGATTTCTTAAATTGTGTATTTACTAATTAACTCTTTATGAAAATGATTGCTGTTCATTACATATAAGTACTCGTAGGTACATATATGAAATAAATGTTGCAGAATTATACCAATAATAAAACTACAAATAGAAATTACTTTTTCATATAATAAAAATTTTACTTAAGCAGATCATGTTTTTCTCAAAACATGCTTTATTCAGATGTACATTAGTATCAGTTTTTCACAGGTAACTGCGTAAAAAATCCTATCTTATAAACATACACAGTTACCAACAGCAAAGAAACAGCATAAGGAAACTGGTGTTAATGTAATTAATAAAATTTTAGTACATTTGTAACTGGCAGAGGTCGCCACCATCAATATTAAAGACAACCAATAAATACCGACGCTGACTAATAGCTAGCACTTCTTGAATCTTAAGTTACTGATAACATTTGTCACTTACAGGAAATTTTCGTGCTGCAATTGTTTCTTAAGCGATCAATCGCTTAGCAAATATTTTCCTTTAAAAATAATATCAATATACATATACCAGTGTAATTTATATGTACTTTAGTAAAAAATAAAGCTATATTTCTTGAAATTTTAATACGAATATAAAAAAATGATATCTAAGATTTTGGAGTGAACTCATTTCAATGAAACAAAATTATCGTATACTACGCATTTCTTATTATTATGTAAAAAAAACAATCGGGATCGTTCAGTTCCAAAATAATTAAAAATCGCATAGTATCCTTAAAGCTTAGTTTCATTTAAATGACTTTAATATACATCTATTTATAGTATATTTAGTGAAAAACTAGATTTTCCTTAACTTACACTAATTAATTATATTAAGGGACATAGATAAGATGTTTATCGTTGTATGAATCATAATTAATAAAGTTACATTAAGGACATGAGTGTAATAACAGTTGTAAGCCATATCTGTCTCGGTTAGCTATAACATGTATCTCAACAGTTTTATTAAACCTTATTTAAATTATAATTTCTTATAGCATTTGTAACCGGTTGATTAAAAAATAGCATAATACATAAGCAACAATCATGGTTGAGAGGGATTTTTTGATGAGAACTAACTATAAGATGTTTTGTATATTGCGATTGCGATATTTAAAACAAAGATTAATAAGTTTATCTTGTTTCTGTTTTCAAAGAAATAAAGTTGATATTCCGACGGTTATTTTTTATACAAGTTATTCTCTTATTTTTTTATCTTCCTTGATAATTACAATAGTCATATGTCAAGCCAAACTTTGCATTTTATTTTTCATTTTAGTCTTAATGAAAGTCATTTCAATATATAATCATTCATAAAACTTTCCAAACTACTGACTTTACAAACAGTGATAAGAAATTATATATTTCTTCTTAACTCATACTTAAATTTAAATTAGAATGATATAGCAAACTAAAACTCGAATTCAGTCAATAAGACTGTTATTTAATTATCTCTAACAAATGTCAAAAACTGAATTCACTGAAAAACTTAAATGTAAAGTAAACAAAACTTAAAATTCTGTGTAAACTACCATATAAAATCTTCAAACATTTATCTCTGAAGAAGGATGGCTTTATTCTGATGAGCTTAATTCATCTCTAAATACGGACATATGAGTTACGTACAGAAATTCCAACTGTAAACGACTACGTATGATTAAATCAATTATTCAACTATCTTTCGATATAGCAAAAATATTTTTCACTCCTACGTATGTGTATCATTAGGAAATAGTTCAAATCTCATCACTCTTAACATCTATATTTGTGTGTAGTATTTGAATAGGAATTTTTAATGTGTAAGCAAAGTTTTCAAAATAAGTACGCCGTCTTCACGCGCTGATGGTGAATATAAATTCAATATATATGGATTAATGTTATATCGTAATATATAAATTTGTTTAAAATAATAAAATACGCATAGTATATCCGAATCATATTAGTTTCATTTAAATGAATACTCGTTAACAGGTTTTATAAAATAATAATAATGATTATTATTTTCACATTAGAGTAAAACATCAAACCATTTTTATTCAATATAACCTTAACAACATTATTATTATAAAAATTTTAATATATTTCAAACCAATTTAAAATAATAAAGAACACAAAAATCGTAAGTTTACTCTTAGTACAATTTGATAGTATTAATCTTAATAAACACGGCCTGTGCAACTTGGCACAAACATTTAGAAACTCAGAGGACTTATTGATATAAAAATTAAAGATAAATGTAAAATAAATATCATAAGAATTTGATTAATTTTACTTCCTGAGATATAAAGACCGAATTTCATACTGTTATACTTAAATTTAGAAAACTTTGTGAAGCATAAGATAAACATAAAAATCTAGCAATTTATAAGAGTTATAATATCATAAGGTTTTTAAAATGTTACTCATATACATAGATCACAGGGACGTTATTAATTTCATGACCCCTTCTCAATCCGCTTCCCTTAAGCGCGCTGTCATCCCATGTCATAAGCAAAAATTTATAGAAGATAAATGAAATGTCACTTCATGTATAGTATGACGACAGAGGTTCAGCTGTGAGTATAAAATAATATTATCTAATAATTCTACAAGATGGCGCTAGTAAGAAGTAAGGAAGGGAAAACGAAGAAAAAAAAATTAAACCAAATAATATATCCACATAGTTAAAACAATCGTAGAAGTATTCCGAATTCTATAATATATACTTTCATTAATTGTTGATTTTAAAGAACACAATCTGTACTCCTCTGTTGCATGTTTTATCAGTTTTATTTAATTTCAGACTCCTTCCAGTATAAATAAACGGGGA